AGACAGGTATTTCCTGATGATCTGATGTCAGACAAAATTAGGGAGGATTATGGTCTCAGTGGGATACGAATCAGTGCCTGTTGTCTCACTAATTACATCTGTAATTCACGTGTGGACTGGAGTCTGAGTTATTTCTGATGAAGCAGTAAAAGAGTCCCTGGCCTCAGGCACTATGGTATTGGCAGTGTATTGATGGTGAGGCAGGATTTAGTTTCCACGGGAATCCCATTGGTGAAGGAGAATGCACTGGAGGTGCAATGGTCACTGTATGTCATACTCTAAATCCTTCAGGATAGCTTTGGCATCAAGTGCTTTAGAGTTCTGGTGACCGAACCCAGGGCTGTGCAGTACCTGACCTCAGGTTCGTGGGCATGTGGGGTCCCAGACTGCCCTGGCAGATACATTTGGAAAGTCAGCTGACTTTAAATGCCAGAAATCCAGAGAGGTACATACCACTGACTAACTTGAGTTAACAGAGACACTGAGCTGAGAAAACCCACTGCATGAGGTTGACCAGTGTTTCTGAGCATGCCAGCCACATAGCAACCTCTCCGTTTGCCCAGACCGGAGCACCCACAGCACCCATCCCACCACCCAGAGGGCACACTTCAGATGCAGCTGCAGGGCAACAGCAGCAGCACTTGTGAGCAAATGTCACTCCAGCGCCAAGTCACACCAGCCAGCACTTTCTGCTGGTTTCACTGGAAACCAGGACTGTTGGCTTAGCCAGCTGCAGGACTACAGTGCTGGTACCAGCCTATGCAGATCCTGGGCTGCAGAGTTCTCCAGAGCTACAGCTTGCCACCCTGACATGATGCACCCTATGCATTCTCTGCAAAACTAAAGGTGAAGAAAAAACATGTTAGGTTCCTAATGGCAGTGCCCAAAGGTACTATATCTGAAGATAACATCGATAGAGAGAGCCAGCACAAGTTCTCTTCACACAAACTATTTCCCAGAGGCTAATGGCAAGAGGGAGAGAGAGGGAGAAAAACAAGTACTGACAGTTTACTGTAGGAGCTCAAAGAAAAAGTGGACAAAGCTAAAAGAACTCCAGCTCTTTGTTCGCATTTAATCCAGTTCAGAGCATTCACTGGTGCATACAGATTTACTTTCCATGGCTGATGGAGCTGGTTATGGTCATTTGGTAAGAAACAGAGGATCCAGGATTTAAATTTTGTGCCTTCAGGCTGCTACATTTTAGGAAAAGTCAGTCTATAATATATATAAAGTTTTGTGCCTTCAGGCTGCTACATTTTAGAAAAAGTCAGTCTGTAATATATATAAAGTTTTAATCTAATGTAAAAAGTGTGAGCTGCTGGCTAATATCTTCAAAGAAACAAATCCTGATCTTGAAAGGTGAAGAACACTTTCTCTTTTTAACACAGACCAAGTTTTTAAGGGGTAGAGTGCTTCTTTTGGCTCATAGAAACCAAGGAAAGGACTGAGGCCTCCTGTCCCCACCCAAAGAATCCCCTATTTTATTTTCTTCTTTCTCTTTTCAGCTCTCATCTTGAATTTATAAAGGCACTGATTTATCAGAGGCTACTAGAATAATGTAACAGTACTAAAATACCACCGGTCCACATATTTTAATACAAAACAAATAGTCCAAGCACCTGATACCACAGTACAATAAAACTATCAAATCACCATTGCAGGCTTTTGCTGAGGATAGACGGTTCAAGTTACATGTAGCCTATTTTCTAAAGGCTATAGAGTCAATTCATCTCTGACTGAATTTGCAAAACACCACATTGAAAGACAGCATCAGCGAGGAGGATATATATACAAGAACAGAACCAACAAAAGCATTTGTCAGCGAAAGTTAGAGAGGCTGAGTTAGAAAAGGTAGAACTGGAAGGGAAAATTCAATTGCAGACTACAGCAGACCCAAATTAGGCAGATGTGTTGGAGTGAATTTAGCACAGCGTATTGGAAACACACTCCCCAACAAGTGTGTAGAGAAAAGGGAGGGTTAACCAGCAAGTCTTAGGAAGTGCAATAGGGGGGGGAAAAGTGAACAGTAAATGTGGCACAGTGTTAAAAGACAAAACTCTTTCTCATCCCTGTCCCATCTCTCTCCAAGCATTTTTGGTTGTCTAAGAAGGACCCCTAGCACTTGGGCTCAACTAGTATTGCTCAAACTTCTCACGTTCAGACAAAACCAGACCTTTTTATCCTAACCACTCATGCCCAGCCTTAGCTGAGACCAGAAAAGCAGAAGCCCATTCTGGTTGGCATTGTGTCACGTGGTGCAGGAGACCAACACTTGACATGAGGCTGCTCGGCTGCTGAACTGCTCCAGCTGCTTGCTCAGCTCTTTCCAGTGGAACTACTCATTCTCTTAGAGATTGCTTGTTGTAAATGGGATGTTAATGAAATAAACCAAAAGGCAATTTAAGCTATTTTACTACACTTCAGGAAAAAAGCCCTACTTGGATAGATGACACATGATGTATTTTGTATTAATGTTTCAAGTCAATTTGGTGGATCCTGATGGCAGGCAAGTTAGAATTATTTTTTTTAAAATTTGAACATCATACCAGGATATAAGGCCAATCACCTGAACAAGAGCAGTGATTGAATTAGGGCTCAGAAATGTATCCCTGGCTAGTTTCAAATTTTAAAGAGAGCTTTTAAAAAAGTACAAATGAGGCTAAAAGAATTTATGTTATTTTTCCGGTTTCTGTGCTATAACTCCTTTTACGTCTCCTCATCTATCTTGTAAGTGTACTACCTTATGAATGAGTGAGCAATAAAAGAAGTATGCAGTGGTTGAGAGAGAAACTCAAGATAACAAGATAATGCAAAACGTAAGCCAAAGCTTGAGCAGAACTGCAAGTTAAGATGTAGATCTGAATATAAAAGTTTCTCACATCTGAGATTTAAGGCAGTCATTAGATAGTTTGCATGAAAAACTAGTTTAAAAACAGTAGCACAAAATGTGAAGTAATTTATGCTAAGTTCACATCTGTCAAATTCTTGGACCTATACTTTCTAGGGGTTTTAATCTTGTCTTCAGACTGCATTTGCTGACACTTCATTCATAGACTAAAATAAAAATAAAGCTATTTTAATGCCTTTGAAATCCCCATCTTCATTGAAAAGGGGCAGAGGAAGAATAATGAGTAAAGAAGGAGCTACAAACTATCCTAAGATTAGGCAATAGCAGTTACTGTGCCTAGGTGTCATGGGAACAGCCTCAAGACCAAAAGGTATGAGAATAATAAGTCACTACATGCAGTCTTTAAATTACTTGCTTTAAGGCTGCCAAGAACAAGACAGAGCTATGTTTGCCAGTGTTAGTGCACTACTTATGATCTGTTGGCTGCACAACTTAAGATGTGCTCTTTCTCCTTGCCACCCCCAGTTCATGCTGAGATTTTAGACTTGAAGTCCCAGCACACATGTCTAGCCTTTGAGCTGGACTTGGCTCCTTCAGTGCAGGCTGCCATTTTCAGCAGCAGCCAGTGACTGTGTCTGCATGGTAAGTTTTCCAGAAATCCAAAACTGAAGGGGGGGTGTGTGGGTATAACAAAGGGTTAGTGCAAATTTCCATGTCACTGACCTCCCTCCAGCCTTCTAGGCTGCCCAGGTTTGGAGCTGCATGGATCAGCTGGGGTTTCTCAGGGGAAAAACTATGTGGCCACTCCCTGAACCCAGATAATCCCGCTGGCTGGGCTTTCAACTGCTGGTATCTGTCAGGTTAGGCAGAATTTAATCATCAAAATTATTACAGTTTTTTTCAAGCAAAGACCACTGGGAAATTAATTGCTGGAATTAGGTATGTTTTCTAGCATTAACCCAATGTAGCTGCTAAGTGAGGTCAGTTATAGGGCTCAGGACAGACAGCAGGGACTAAGCTGGTCTCCAGTTTTATTTGGCAAAGACTGAGTTGGTAAACAAACAGCACGAGGGAGAAGATAAAAGGATAAAGTTTCAAGGGATGTGAAGGTTGAAGAGAAGTTGAAGCTTTTTATCTTCAAAAGGAAAGTAGTGGCAACTCAGGCATAAGCATGACAGACTCCTACAAAGAAGACAACATGAGGCAGTTTGGAGGAAGCCATGATGTTGAGGTGTTTGAGATGCTTTTACAGTATTAAGGAGGTAGAAATTTTTTAACAACAATTGATGACAAAACATGAAACTGATTCCTCATCTTTACTCTTACCCTTTATGCTCTAAGACAGACCTAGTTTTCTTGCAAAGCAACTGGGGCATTTTGTATACTCCATTATCGATGCAAGAGGAGGCAAAATATTTCAAACCCTCCAGAAAGTGTGAAGAACTTGACTATAGTATATTAAAATAATACTTTGATTTCCAAACAGAAGCATTAACTTGCAACATTTAGAACAGCAGATGCCCATATGAATAAATGATCATCTGCTCTACACTGTTGATTAATGTGAGACCAACAGGTGTATAAGCATTGATAGAGTTTATCTGCTTGTTCATATCTTGCACCGGTTTATGTCATTTTCTGGTGCAAGAACTGAAATGCAGTTTATTTGTGAACTCTGTTTACAAAAATCAAGGTCTAGTACCTATTGTTGAACCTTCAAAACATTTTGCATGTGGCATTTCATGTACAGGTGTGATTTTCTGCCAGTTCCTAATTTCACTGCCATATGCCAAAAATTGCAACAACAGACAAATCTGAAGCACTGTACAATCATATTGCAAATGAAAGTGGAGAAAAGCTGTGGTTAAGGAGGGTCTCATTTTACCTTTGGTCTGTGGGCTGTGAAATTAGGTAGTGTTATCTCCTCTGTTTAACTTGAAATGCAAATGGGGAATCAGCTTTGCAGGCAGAACTCAGTTGACACTGATGAGCACTTACCACCTGGGACAACAGTGTCACTAGGCAAACAAAACCCACAGCTTTGGTGGGAGTGTGGCCTGTGTCTGGTGGCAGCTCATGCTGGAGAACAAACCCATATACGACTGTCATTCAATATGCGTCAAACCATCCTGTTTTTTTGAAGAGACTCTAGCTTGTATTAATGCATCATTCTTTGTTGTTCCAAATACAGATTCTGGAAGAAAACATGAAGTTAGAGTGCAAGTGCCATGGGGTCTCGGGATCCTGTACCACTAAAACATGCTGGACAACTCTGCCTAAATTCCGGGAGCTGGGCTACATCCTTAAGGACAAATACAATGAAGCCGTTCAAGTTGAACCAGTGAGAGCAAGTCGTAACAAACGTCCAACCTTCCTCAAAATAAAGAAGCCACTTTCCTATCGCAAACCCATGGATACAGATCTAGTGTACATAGAAAAATCTCCCAATTATTGTGAAGAAGACCCTGTCACTGGCAGCGTGGGAACACAGGGAAGGATGTGCAACAAAACAGCCCAGCAGTCCAATGGCTGCGATCTAATGTGCTGTGGTCGAGGTTACAATACACACCAGTACTCCAGAGTGTGGCAATGCAACTGCAAATTTCATTGGTGCTGCTATGTTAAATGCAACACATGCAGTGAAAGAACAGAAGTATATACCTGTAAGTGAGTACATGGCGGGACAGGCTGACATGTCCCTGGCCATGAATACATTTGCACATGCACTCAACATACCTACGCAAGACTGTAGGAAAGACCTGCTGTCCCAGAAGAAATGCGAATGAATGGAGCCCTCTCTTTTCTTCTCATGTTTCATTGCTTATGTGGATACACATTTGAGACTGTTATGAAAGTCAGCCAAGAAACAAAACCAAACAAACCCTGCCCTGAGCCACCTGACACACAAAACAGAGAGAAAAAGATCATCTCAGTTAATCTGCACTTCTAAAGCAAGAAGCTTTGACTACCTTGTGAAAAGCAAAATCAGAGAAGTCAGAGAAAAATCTCGGAGTGTGGCAACTAACTCTCGGTTTGGAAAAATGGTGGTCAAAACCTTCAGTGTATAAGGAGTGGGGAGGTGTAGCGGAGAAATCCTCAAAAAAGGGCTTTGCACAGGATAGGATGGACAGTGCCCCATTGTGAATTGCCCATGTCAGCGTGCGGATGACACAGATTTAGGCTTCCACACTTGTGAAAATCTTCTGCTGGTCTTGCCCATCTTTTCACTTCATATCATTTACTACAGCGAATAGAACTGTTGAAGTTTTCTGTAGACACTGCTTTATCTGCCTTTTTCGTGTGTGTGTGCTGCAGATTTTAGCACAGGGATTTGGGACATTTGGGCATAATAATAGCAATATTTAACAATTTATTCAGATAAAACTAATATTAATTTATTTAATTAAAAAGAACTCTACCAACATTTTTGGAACTATTCTGCAATTAAAGTAGGTAGCTGGCTTTCTTTGTGGAATAATTTTGTAGAAACAGCAAGGAAAAACTGGAGCTGTATATATAATTCTTAACTAGGATATTTGTATTAGTTGGACTTGCAGGATGTGTTCTACAGTACTAGATGTTAAAGTACAAAAGTTGGCATCTTTATATATATGTACATATAGAAACACACACTGTTGTTTTTGGGGTCTTGTTTGTTTGTTTGCCTTCTGTTTGCTGCTAGTTGTCTGGAACAAAAGTCAAGTGGTAGGGGTTACAAATCTTTACCAGTTTTGTTTTTTTGGTTTTGTGGTTTGTTTTTGGTTTTGTTTTTGGTTTTGTTTTGTTTTTTTTTTTTCCCTTCAATTAAAGAGAGAAGCATTAATAAAATCCTGTTTGGAATATGTCTAAAAATAAGAAAATCCAGACAAATTTCCATGTTTTGGAAAAATCAACCATAGGATAAGAGAGTATATTTTGTAAGAGACTATTTTTATATAAATATTTTATTTATACTATATCTGCTTGTTCAACCTGTACTTTTTCTCAAAACAGGCATACAATTTGTAATTCTTAGGCTATTTAACAGAGGAAGGGTAATTAGTTTGTGGACACAACAGCAGCAAGATGGATACATTCAACTGCAATTGGTGGATGTGTCAGAAAGCAGAATGAACTTTCTCTCCGGATGTGTGTACAAACTGGCTCTTTTCCTGCAGCTCAATTTGCAGAATATGCAAAATAAGAACAGGGTATGTAGCATCAATTTTGTCACATGGCTTGAATTCATGATTGGTATTAACTGGATGCTCATTTATCCCATTCAAGAAAAAAAAAGTCCGAATTAGCTTCCCACATGCATCAGTCATTAAACTGTGGTGTTATGACTAGCAAATGTGCTGTGTGTGCTGTCAGTTAAACCTCTATATTGTGTTACTGTCAAATTTGATTTTAATCAGTGGAAGACTGTAGACTATGACTGTAAAAACTAGCATGATACACATCGTCTGATTCTCATAGATAGGATACAAAGCTCACTTTTTGTCCAACTCTTTTTGGCATTTACATTATTCTTTCCCCCCTAAAAGGCCCGAGCTCAGAAATCCAGAAAAACATCTAGGCAAAATTAAAGACTACTCACTTGTTTTTTCAGAGCCGAGCTAAGCCATTTTGCATTCCCTTTATGGTATTTCCTTTTTATCACTGCTAATTTCTTCAGATATTTGAGTGGAAATATTTATCTGATTTTAGAATCATTCTGTTCTTCCTGCTTGACTCATTTGTGACTGAGAAAAAAATAATCTAATTTTAATTTTGTTTTTCATTGGGTAACAAACATGGCCCAGCGCTGCCAACAACATTGCACGTTCTGTCTGGGACAGACCAGATTATTCCCTACTTCCAGACTACAGGATCTCATGCCTTTAATGAGGCTAAGAGGGGCATCAGTAATGGAAACAAATCACCATCCAGCACGCAGTGCATTTCACCACCTCCTGTTGATAACAGCAAGTGTTACAAGGAGTAGATGATACAGATATATCTTTGTGTCCATTGACTCTTCTGAGGCAAAACTCCCACCTCGGACTGCAAAAACAAAGAAAGTTTTCTGAGAAAGTAAACAGAAGTATCACAAAAGATGTTGCAAAGTTTCAGTATAACAACCTAACCTTTTAGAACTTGTCTGAATGGTAGTATTTTTCTTTTAAACTCACTTCTTATGTATACATTATTTATGTAAGAACACAAGCCCATGCAGTACCTGATCCTAGCAATGTATAATTAGGGTTAAATATACAGTTCCTTTGCAGACCTGCCACTTAACATGAAATAGAGTTTTTATGCAATCCAGACACCAGCACAGGATATCAAAATAAAATTATTAATATAATTTACTTTCAAACTTATGACTTGTCAATGTAAAGCAATATAAAAGCAATTTTTGGGGGTAATTGAGTCACTTCTTTTAGTTCTTCTAAATTCCACATATCAAGAATTGATAGCACAAAATGCAATGAAGTACATACAGTATGGATGTTAATTACAACACTATATTATGGTTAAATAATTCAGGTCTAACATCTAATATTGGATTCTCCCTCCTCCAGTTTGTATTGGTTTTTTACTTAGTGGATACCATATAATACTTCACTGATTAGAATTATTTTACAAATTATTACTTTTGCAGCATGTTTTTACTTTAGAAAAGTAATCTGTAAAACTCCTGCTTCCTGTATATTTCAGTATGCAGTGATGTGCAATGTACAGCTAGCAGATTAATCACTGAAGGACAAATATCTTTAAACAGTTTTACTCACAATAATAACGAACTGGATGCACAGTGAAAAAAAATTTCCCTATATTTTACAATATTGCTGATGATCAGTGCGTTAATTGGAGAAAATGTCAATTTTTTTGATAACTAACAATCTGGGAACTATGAATTACAGAGCAAGGAAAACCAAACGCTGCATTCAACTAGAAAATATTTGGAAATTTGGCTGCATCATCTTAGATAGGAGAAATCTGGCCATGAGTCTGGAGTTAATTGGTCATTCGCTAAATGGGCTTGAATGGCATGAAGAATAAACAGGAGAAGGAAAAAGATTTACGATTTTGTAGATATCCCTCCCCCCCGACAACAGTTTGTTCTTTGTCCTCAGGGATACGAAAGCTCTGTTTTTACTTGGTGAAAACCACACAATGGGAGTGAAATGCACAAAACTACAGAACAATACTGCTCTCAAAAGAAAATACATCTTTTCATCTCTACTAACCAAGGGAAGTGTTGAATTGCTGTCTACATTAGCAACCTAGCTGAGGCTTTTAAAGAAAACATACATTCAAGAAGCCAGAAGAGTAAAAAGAGTAGGAAGCATAAGAGAACAAGCATAATTGCAAGTTGGGAAGCTATTGTTTATGCAATCTCACTTCCTCATTTCATAGCGGACCACTGATTCATGGAAATGAAGCAGTTCTGTCTTGGGATTCCTAAGCAAGTTTTAAGGATTTTACCTCTCGTCCTTCTTAAAAGGACAACTAACCTGAATACAGTTAGCTTGAATACTCGAAGAACCTACATAAAACATGAATCAGTTAGTGATTAAGTTTTCTTTGCCATGTATGCACAAACCTAATGGATATATGTCTTTCAAAAGTGATAATTAAACTGAAAACATCCTTAAAACATACTCTTAAGTGGGTCATTTGGTAAAGTTGTTGTAAGGGTACATAGTTACTTAGAAAAGAAAATAATGGACACATACCATATTACACAAGGCTCTTAATGAACTATCCTGTGGATTACAAAACTGTTTTTAACTGACCACACTTAGAAAACAATTTGTTGAATACAGAAGCATCACAGACTACAGTCAGAGTGCACATATTCAAATTAAGATTCAGCATAAATATTTCTGACAACATTTTTACATTTATCATTATAATAGATGTCAGGAAATATGCACTGTGAACATCCAAAATGAGTGTATTAACTAATACAGCCTCCTGCCCCCAACTTGTATACCCAAGAAGTTGACTGAACAAGAAGCTCTCCAACTCTGTTGCTGGTGGAAGGACTAAACTGCAGACTCAGTGACTGACATGCCTAGACAGGGCTGGCCAAATCTGGCAGACACTGTTGTTGTCAATCAACAACGGTACAGTTTGAGTCAGGCTAGAATGTTCCAAAACTGTCCAAAATTGAACCAAGTACACAAATTTTATCACACAGCAGAACTTCAGATGACGAAGCTTGTCTAGATTGCAAAACATTCTCCCTTAATTCATGGTTATCTTGAATACTTGTCACCATGGCAAGTGACCTAATTTGCTAACCCAATTCATGTTCTTCTGGTCAAAATCATGCCAATAATTCCTCAAAGCCGGGCATTTTAATATAAACAAAAATTAAGGGAATTCCTCCTCTGGAAAAAAACAATTAGTAACATATGATTAAGTCAAAATGATGAAGAGATGTACTTGGATCTAAAGCACTCCAGGTGTTTGAAGAAGGATACCAGAACTTTGTGATTCTCTTTTCCAGAGGTGATGCTGTAAAATTCTAAAGACTTCTTTTGATGCTTTGGAGTTTTATGAAATTACAGATTTTTCCATTTTCTTGTTATTACATATTCATAGATTCATCAATAGCACATATCATGTAATTTGCAACTGGGAGGTCAGAAACAAGTCCCAGAGAAATCTCACTTCTAAATGTAGCACAATATATTTACTACTGGTGCTCTGAGGTTCATATAATTCCTTACCTTGATCTTGTATTTTTGTTAGCAGAATTACTGCACCACGCTTTTGTTAGGAAAGACAACCGCTTTGTAAAGAGGTTTGATA